CTGGGGAATTCTGGGAGTTGAAGTCCACACATCTTCAAGCTGCCAAGGTTGGGAAACACTGGCACAGATGTATCAGCACTGTCTTAATTCAGTTGGGTTTCTGATGCTTAATTATTAATCATTTCTTCCTGAACGCTGTTGATGGACAAAAAATAAACATATTTTGTTTCATTATTTAAATCAGTGGTCCTTTGGGATTTTCATTGGATTGCATGTATCTCAGTCCCTCTGGGCGTTTGTTCATGCAGGCAGAAAAATGATACATTAGATCTCTAAGGTGTCATGCTATCTAAACACGACTCACTGACATATTTATAACTATTCAAGTCATCAGAGGCTCACATGTCTCTAACTGCAGAGTCATGCTATTATACAGGTGGAGCTGGTGTCATTGAACGGGCCTAATAAGCTCCATTCAAGGCTGGATTGTCACATCTTGGAGTATGTTGTTAAATAATTAGGCTCACGGTCCATTTCCACGTGATTGTCATCTTACTCGACTGTTTTTCCTGTGTTAGATTGTAACTTTCCCAAAGCAAACACCTCTCCTCTAACTCCTCTACACAAGGGCGTGATATTCAGATATTATATATTGATTCGATTTATATATATAATATATAGATTACCGAGCTGGGGGTTTGGCCTAGTGTACCATGCTGTGCAAAGCACTCTAGGGCAGGGTTCCTCAACCTTGGCCACTTTAAGACGGGTGGACTTCAACCCAGAATTCCCTTGCTGGCGGGGGAATTCTGGGAGTTGAAGTCCACCCATCTTAAAGTGGCCAAGGTTGAGAAACCCTGCTCTAGGGGAACTAAGGAAAGCAACCCGTGTAACCCAACCTTATAGGCAGATTACTCCAAGGAGTAAGGGCTCTGCCTCATCCCAACTCTCTACCTCAGTGTTTCTCCAACTTGGCAACTTTAAGACATGTGGACTTCAACTCCCAGAATTCCCCAGCCGGCATTGGCTCTACCTTTTTTTATACACTGCCCTACCTTCTGCAAGCTGCTTTATAGACCGTTAAGCGTTGCCCTTTATTTATTAGACAAACCTCCCCCTACTGTGGGCATCATCCGCAAGGGAAAATCAGACAGTTATTTTAAAACAATTGCAAACGATTCTGAATGCATATTGAACAGGAGGAGTGATATACCTGTTCCGGGGACCTAAACTGTTTGTTTATTTTGAAGACACTTTACAAGACTCTCTTGCCTGCAACAACTGCAAATTCAACAGGTAGGTTACGGGAGTTTGCTTTGTTTCTTCGTCCCTTGCTGCAACACTGACCCGCACTTGGATCATCCAATGGCCAAGGAAACTACAGTTCCCAGCAGCCTTCGCTTGGAATGCTCCACACAGAGAGGGGAAGGCCTCCTGTCTCTGCCTTCCTGAGTCCACGCCAATGGAACGCGTTCCTTTCCTATCCCCCCTCCGATAGGGGGATGTATTGGTATCTCCCGAAGTCAAAGCGGTCTGGCAGGAGAAGCGGCCGTTGGGGCGGGTTCGGTCCGGCGGCGGCGGCTCTGCTTTCTTCCCGCCGAGATGCAGAGCTCGGATGTGGGCAACAGGGAACAGGGCAAGATCTGGCACCGCAGGCCCTCCCCGGCAGCACAGCAAGGGTAACTTTCCGTTAGCCGCAGCATCATTGGCTGCATAGCAACAATCCAACAATGGAGCCTCCATCTCCAGTGATAGTCTATCAGTCCGGCCCCCCCCAAGAATGACTCTTTTCATCACATTCTGCCGAGGTGCTAAATTAGCCGATGGGCCTCTAAAAGAGCTGGACTCCAACTCCCATCAGCCCCAACAGCGGAAGGGAGAGGACTTTTTGAGGGCAGGGGGGTTGCACCAGGCGATACCGTGAAGGGCTCAAAGACTGTTAGTTAGGATAGCTAAATAGTGTCCTTGCGTACAGGTGAGGCAGTTTCTAAAAAATACGATTATTCACTTATGTATGTGTTTCTGAGACTGGGGGCAAATTTTAAGGGAATGAAGTACCAATTTTATGTATCAGTGGGAATTGATTAGGACAGCAGCATAATTAAAAAGTGGGCTTATTGGTTTTGTTTTAGTGTCATAAAATCACCTAACCCAAATGAATAAATGAATGAATGTAGTTAAGGTTTAAGTACCCTATAATGTTTCTGTAGGTCAGTAAAAAATAATCTCCTGATTATTGGTAAGGGGAATCCAACAGTTTGAATGTTTTATTTGTTTGGAGATCTTTTTAATAATTCTGCCCTTTGATTTGGTTTGAGTCAAATTTGAGCGTCCTCTTGAGCATCTAAGGGCCGATACTGGTAAGTCCCCTCGGGTTTCTTTAGGTAGGGTTTAAAACTATATTCATTTCAAATTGATGTATTCATATTTGTTATTTAAGTTAATTCTATGCTGCTTTTAAAGGTCTTCACTCGGGATGGCTTACAAAACCAAAATCACATATAATAGAAAGAGTGCAAGACGTGGAATAATGGATTTAAGTCAGAGGAAGGCAGATTCTGTTTGGATATTTTAAAAAGAGCAATTTGATGTGGAGCCAGTGATCCAGAGAGGGCTTTATCATTGGATGCTTTAATTTGGATTCCTGCACTGAGCTGGGGTTGGACTCAATGACCTCGAGGAACTTTTCCAACTCTAAGATTTTAATAGTAGCAAATCCATAACTCCAGAAGTGAAAACAGAATATTAAAACCAGTCCCATTTCTAACTCAAAGTTCAAGGAAACCAATAAGACTCGTTTTGGGGACAGCTTAGTAATCAAATAAGTTTAAGACTTTATTTAAAATGATCATGCCGGAGGCTGTTTTTCATGAACTGCATTGTGAACCCCCTGCAGAGCATAATAAATCTTCCCCTTGCTTTATGCTGATAAAAATAGAATATTGGAAGAATTCTGAATGCCCTGAGAGAACATGATGCAACTGCTTTAAATATACATAGTAAATGGGGTTTCTCATCCACAACTGATAAGAAGGAATCATTCCAGATTAAAACTCATGATTCGTTTTTGCACAAAGTAGTTGACATCATATGGGGGAGAAGTAGTTGTGCGTGTACTCTCCAAGTAGAGTCTGTTATAACACCCTTAAGAAATAACAGCTATCAGTTGAAATAGATTTATATGATGGAAATGTGCCCCGTTGAAACTCTGTCATGGGGGTGGGCACTCCTTCTGTTGAAGATTGTATTCCCACAACAGGGATGGCGGGCTCATCTCATCCCAGTTATAAGTCAGGGAAGTAAGCAATGTGCAAGACAATTGCCAAAAATATGCGAGGCCACCCATTCTCTCCCTCCAGAATTTTTTTTCTATATTTTATAGCAACCTTTTCTTTCTTTTCCTCCCTGTTGTGAAATAGCTTCTTTTCTCCTGCCTTGCTTTGACACTGCTGGGGAGGAAGATTGAATGTATTTCTTGCAAACACTTTTGAAATTTAGCCAGGAGAATTTGGCACTTCTGGGTTATCAAATTGTGCTGGGTGTGTCTGAAAAGTCTGTACCAGGTCTTTTACAATAATTTATCTTCCATACCGAGAGAAGCAAATACCATTCTTGTGGCATTTTTTGTTGTTGTTGTTCAGTCGTTAAGTCGTGTCCGACTCTTCGTGACCCCATGAACCATATCGCG